GAAATGAGGTTCCATGAACCAAAGCGTATTTGCATGGAAAGAGAGACTGGTTGTTTGGTGTTTGGTCTGAGGACAAGACAAAGGTGGAGGATCTCATGCGAAATCCATCACACTTACAAGTCCTATATGCCATTACACGGATGGCCCAGACCAGACCAGACCAGACCAGAATATACCAGACGGAACCGGTTATCTGAGCCAACACCAGCTGGGACAGACCGCATCGAGAGGGTCTTCATTCAACGTCACCTGGTGCCCTCGGCGAGTGGGCGAGTAAAGTTATTAGCACGGGGCGGTAGGATCGATGGATAGAATAGATCTGTCCGAGGCCTACGCAGACGAAGACAAATGAACTCACGACCTTAATGAAGAATATCTAGTAGTCCTCGTCTTCGTCCTCTGCTTTCTTCTCCAGATCCTACCGGGCGCCATCCTATATACTCCATCCTCTCTCAGCCTTGTCCTTTTAATCCCCGGTTCTCCTACATATGTAGGTATCTTATTTGAAACCCGGTTCTCCCATCTATGTGAAACCGCCTTTCCCCTACTAATACCTTGCTTGGACTACAACCACAGTCATCTGCAATACCATAGTGGACCTGGTTCAGGCTTCCTTGTCAATGCCCTCTGCAAAGGCAGAGTCTATCCTTTGGCGGCAATGGGATGGAGGAAAATGAAAAGAGGGGAAAACCAATTGAAGCTCGATTAACTCTGCATGTGGCATTCGGGCATATCAAAGGCTCACGAGTCTCAGCTGTCACATAGATAACAGCATACATATCCAAGCTCCACGTGTCTTTCTTGCTGTTGATCTAGTGCCCTCGCTTGAACCCTGTATTGTTGTTGTTGTTGTTGTTGTTGTTGTTGTTGTTGTTACGAAATATCTGACTTCCACTGTCTTGCTGCTTCTGCGCTCGCAGTATTTTCCGCCTGCCTGCCTCCTTCATCGTTTCCTCCCTTTAGGTTGATGGCTGCAGCTGGCCCGCTCATCATGACAGACTCCCATCAACGCCTTCTGTTCCCAATACCACAATGAGATCCGACCTTCTTGTTCGATCCTTTGCTGGATATGAAGCACTGTAAATCTCACGGCTCTCCGATCCCGGACCATCCTTTCAAGCACTCCGAACGCCGTAACGCCCATTTTCATTGCATCAATCCGATCTCATCACACATTCTTCAAACCCTAGAACCTGGTACCCGGCACAAATATAAATAAGACACTTAACGCCACTGCCGCCGCCGCAAACATCAAGAATGCAATGGTAGCTCGAGTCAGAAGCAGTCGACGTACAAACGGCTCCCTGACGCGCGACCAGTTCATCCACGTGTATTCACTAAATCCCAGGTAAGCGGCAACGATGTCGAGTTTGTACTGGTAGGAGACGAGGAAGTAGCAGCCGATTGTGAAGGGAAAGATAAGCTAAAGTTTTCGGTCAGTGTGAGACGACGATGACATTGAGGGGGAGTCCTTACCCAGCAGCGAGTAGCCCTCGACCTATCTCTCAGAATCATGTAATAACCCGCCCAAAACCCGGCCATCAAGCTTGCCAGACCAATAGCCAGCCTGATCAACACACTCAATGGGACCAGGTTTCCCAAAGCTTTGGCCTGCAAAAAACCTGGAAATGCATCCCTTTCCATCGCTTGAAAGACGTAGTCCTTAGCGTCGTCAAATACCTCTGGATCATCTCGTCCTTCTTCTTCAATCGCTCGAATAATCCTATTCAGCATTGTGTCTGGCAGAACAATTTCTCGCTCCGATCCAGGCAGCACAAAAGTGTAGAGGATCTTCTCCGCACTGGCTTTAATGTCGGCCCTAGCGACACTATGCCCAGGAGAATTTGAATCTGTCCGCACTTCAGGGGTGGGATAGGTGGGTTGAGGTAGTTCTGAAGGAGACGGGCGGTCGCCGGAGGGTCGATTGATGTTTCTTGAATGCGCAGATCCCATGCTGTGTGCAGGGGAGTGATCGGTGGCACCACCGGCGCCTCCTTCTCCTCTGCTCCGGGGTGGTCTGGCGCCTGCAGTGGCGGCGGCGGCGGCGGCGGCTCCGTTGTCTGATCTTAGGATGGCAGACACCCTTGATTCCTGGCCACTCCTTCTCTCCGCTCCTTCACCCAATTCAAACTGTTCAAGCAACGCCGAGGACCTTTTGCTGGTAGTCTTTTCCATCTCGGGCGTGTCGACGAGCATCGAACGGCGCAGTTCTCGAACGTAGTGGCGGCATAAGGACATGTGTTGGGATACATCGAGCCTGTTGAATAAGTCAATCTTGATCCAAGCCTTCGGTTGAAAGAGAAAACAAACCAGAAGTCCAGGTAGTCCACGGAGCGTTGTTGATCGCGCATGTAAATGTAGAACGAGAACAGATCGACTGGAGCTAGAGTCCTTCTTCCCAGAACCTCCATTAAAGTGGGCAGTCGGTTGCGGACTTCGACATCCTCCCCCCGGCTCGCCGGTTTTGCCATTGCGTTTGTGGTGTTCCTGCGCGCAACGGAGTCCGTGTCTTTCAGGGTATAAAAGGAGGCGCGAATTTGTTGACGTGGGAGGGTTTTATTGCAGCCACCGCACTCTGAACTGATCGGCGAACCTCGTCTCGGTGGGGATTACGGTGTGAAGTAGAGGTGAGATGGAAGTGACGTGAGGTGCTAGTGACTGAGTTGCTAGTTGCGAGTGGCAGGCTGGTGGGCCTGGGTTTACATGGTGAACATGGCGGGTCAAGAGACAGTAGCGAGCGTATCGAAGAGTATTCGGCGAGCGGGAGAAGTGGTGTTTGTAGAGATACAGAAAGAGCGTGTCGTCTTTGTCTGGTCTGGTCGGAGTGAGGTCGAGAGCGGTGGTCGGTGGTTTCTGGCCAAAAGCAAGGAACAGGGCAGGGAGAGCGCAGGGAGCAACATGTGGCAGGGGGACCTGGAATTGGACGCGGCTGGGGCAACCTCCTTGTGTGCAGTAATTGGCTCCATTGAGCTCCGACAATCTGCAGGTCCCCAGACTCTCTCTTCCTCTCATCCTTCCCCTGTTCTGCCAGCCACACAACTAGGTATTACCTACCAAGTTGTAATTAGCACATGCCGCACTGGCGGTTCGTCATCTAACTACGAGATACTTCCGCGTCCCTCGGATTTTGCCAATCTTCTAGTTAGCACCCATCGTCATGGCCAATGCGAACTCCCCTTGTGTGCCATTATTTCCCATTCCGTGTCTCAGTGGATCAGCCTGATCAAACGCCAGTGATGCAGTTTGGGTATCATATCGTATGCAAGAAAAAGAAGGCTAAGTCGGTATTCCATGTAATCGTCCACTCCTCGCCGCCAACTCCCCAAGGGAAAATGCCATCCACAAAGCCACAATGCTATGGTACCAACACCAAGTCTTATGCGGGTCCTTTACAGAATGCGTCGAAGACAACGTCGTTATTCCGCCAGGTGCTGGAAAGATATGTCAGTATATCCGAGCTCCAAATCATTGTCAGAACACAACTACTCACCGACCATTCGGGGATATTCTTGATCTGTTGCCACATGAACTTTTCCAGCTTGTTGGCGCTTTTAGCATACGGTGTGGTTTCGTTGTTGTAGCGTCGACAGTTGTCGAATATGAGTTTGGCATCCTTGATGAAGTCTTCTGGTCTGGGGTACAGATCGTTCTGCAGTCGTTCCTCCATTGTCGACAGGTCCATTGGCTCTTTGATGACCTCATAGTAGTCAGGCACCTCGTCTTTATTGACAGGCTGTGCAAATGGCCAGGCGGCTGTATGATTCTGCATGTCGTTGAGCAAGTGGAGGAGCTGATTATAGTTCGGGCCGTGTCGAGGTTGTCGGGAAAGTTCATCCATGGAAGGAGACCATCCCGACTCTTTGATCGCCGGAATCGACATGGGATCTATCTCGACGATGCCATTCTTCCACTGCGCCGGAGGAGGATGAACGATGTGGGACTTGCTCACTGCTCGAATCTTGGCCATGACCGCCTCTTTTTGCTTCTGAAGCATTCGGGGAGCCTGCAGATAGCGGATCCGGGGCAACATGCTGCATTGCATGATTGTGCCGCCTTCGTAATCTTTGATATACCCCATCCAAATCGACTTCTCCAAAGTGATCTCTTTGGTGAAACCCTGCTTCTTAAAGTAACCAATCGCATAATTGTCGGCGTAGGTCAGAAAATACATAATCGGCGAAGTAGCTTTGACATAATCTTTCAAGTGCGCCATCAGATGAGCACCGTACCCCTTGACCTGCTGATCCGACGAAATCGCGCAGAAGACAATCTCAGCAAACCTCCGCGAGTTGAAGGGCCGGTATGTGATACCTCCAACCACCTCGAGCGGCTGCTTGATGATGGCCATGGATAGATGCGTTTTATCGTACACTAGCCGAGCGATGTAGTCCTTGGGCATTTTCGGCAATTGTTTCTGAAAGATACATTTCAACCCGGTCAATATGATGTTGCTCTCCCTCGAATTGTCGTTGTTGACCACCCTGAACTCAATAAATCCTTGTTTCTCTTCGACCACAGCCGGTTTGTCGGGAAAGTCGACGGGTGTGGGGGTAATGAGAGGTTCTGTGTCGGACTGTTTAGAGAAGAGATTAGTCTCGGTTGTCTTCAATGCAGGACGCCCAGTATGAGAATAATGGCATGGGACCCCGGAATCTTCGAGGCATGAGAGAGATATTGTTGAGTCTGAATCCGTAGAGATATTTGATCGAAAGCGATATAAATTATCATCGGGCGGAAAGATCCCCGCCTGGGGAGGGTTGAAAGGCATGAGGACGGAGATTCGGGGTCAGAGATGAATTTACCTCTTCATGCTTAACACCGTCCTCCAGTACTGGCGATTCCGTTCTTGCTTTTTTGGAGCGAGAGGAGGCCGCATCTTCTGACGCCTTCCTCTTTGTATCTGCGTTGTGAAGAGTCAGTAAGAATGCCCATGTTATTCTGCCGCACCCAAGGATTCTCACGTTCACCATTTACAGGCGCCATCGCGGCACTTTGATCTCATGGATATTTTGAACAATGCGTTATATAACACGTCGCAAGCGTGTGAAAGGACGTCGCCGCAGTCAAGACTTGTTGATCAGCCTAGAGCCTCGGAGTTGAGAGGCGCAAGAGGCGATTTCAGCGGTGGTGCAAGACACCGCAACGATGATTACCGCAACAAGACTAGCGCATTATCTCGGAAAAGTTGCTGGTTATGGCCGTTGCTGCAGTCGCGTCGTCTTGCGACTAAACATTTGGAGACCACCTTGCAACTGCGGACCTCTCCTCGATATGAAATCCACCAGGTCGACCGCTTGAACTTGTATTCGACGGTCTTGTTATCCACATCAATGTCGCTGTACGAAGTGTGGCAAGCAGCCGCAGGCAGCGCTTTCCAGCCTACGGTTGGTAAGGAAAGCCAATTGAACGTAGGATTGTTTCTTCTGCTCATTGGTGAGACTCCGCAAGCACCGGCTCTCGGACTCATATTGACTTATGTATTCAGGACTGATATTCACTGGACTCTTCGCCCTGAACAAGTCTCCTCTCTCAATACCTATTTTCGGCATCCCTGCCTCACTGGCATTTGGGTACGTGCAGGCAAAAGACCATGGAGCTTGACACGAATATATTGACACATGTATAGTTTCGGGGCCGTCTACGCGATCTGCGGATTTGGTGTCTATGTCTAAGATTCTGTCGACGATCTGTGCCTCCGCATCCGTCTATTTGCGTCTGCGTCCACTGGAGCTCGTCTGGTCAACAGGCTCAAGCTCCTGAAAAATGGCTGGCTCCCCCATTTTCACGGCAATGTCAACATCTGCTAGGCAATTGTACCTGTTGCTTCGGTGCATTGCTTTTTCGCAGCGGGCAGATGTGCAGATCACCCACCAAGGGATCAAATTCTCCGTCGAGGAAGCGCGAGTCGTTCAAGGCCTAACCTTTCTCGACAAAGCACTGTTCTCGTCGTATAATCTGAGGCTTAACGAGGAGGACCATTCGTTGCCCACATTTTCAGTCTCAATTGTTGCTCTCCTTGAAACACTCCAGATCTTTGGTATCGCTGAAGCCACTTCCTCGGCTCGCAATCCCTATGGTGGATTTTCATCCTCATTTGGGAACGCTTTCAACACTCCGGCTCTGGCGCTCGGAGGAACATGTCGGATTTCGTATCAAGAGGCTGGTGCACCGCTTACCATCACAATTCAAGAAGGATCGGTCACCACAACATGTGAGATGAACACGTACGTGGCTCATGACGACTATGGAGACGATGGTGGTATTCCCCTTGACCGGAACGCGCTGTGTTTGAAAGCAATTATGCAGAGTGCTTGGCTAAATGATGCCGTCGGAGAGCTCTCGGGCACCAATCCATCTGTTCTTGTAATCAATGCTTCGAGTCGCTCTGCCCCGTTTTTCTCATTGGAGGGCGAAGGAGGGCCGTTCGGTGATAGCACTGTGGACTTTATGCCCGAATCAAAGAACGATCCCACCCCCCACGGACCTAAGTCAAAGAAGCAACCCCTGGTCACAGAAACATTTTCAGTCATTCCACCATCTGGAAGCCACGGCCGGATTTGCCAGAAATACAAGTTCGACATGATCAAGAGAGCAGGACGGGCCATGGCCTTGGCCAGTAAAGTCAGCATTCGTCAAGATCAACAGGGAGTACTCAGCTTGCAGTTCATGATTGAGCTGGGTGATGGTGCTAACGTTGGCCCACGTCGAGATGACACTGTCTCCGTCAATGCACCGCCTACCCCCGGCAGTGTTGCCTTTGTCGATTTTAGATTTGTTCCGCTCCTGGATGATGAGGAGACTGAAAGCAATGCTGAGCTTGAAGATGAGACATCCGAGGAGCTGGACCTGGAGCCAAATAACGAGAGCCCCTAGTGGATACTACTTTCAAATGCCATGGTCATCACTCTCACTGTCACTTCCACTTTCAATTTCGCTTCCTTTTCAAAATACCTTCGGAACCTACATTTCAACCTCTTCCCCCGATAAATAACTCAGGAAGAGTGCACCAGTCTCCTCTTTGACCGCCTCTCTCAACAGCGATGACGTTTACACTTTTCTGGGATACATCGTCCTTTGGCCCCTAGTATTCACCGGTTCACTCGCCCTTTCTACACTTCTGAATTTGGAGGTTGTAGATATTTGAAGACGTGACAGCGGCACATGCCTCTCATAAGCCTGCTTTAGACTCTCCGCTTGCTGTCATTGGTCTGATAACTGAAACTTCAGCGCTCACCTGCGTCGATTCGACTTCTCTTATTGATCACCGAGATCCATTTCAATAGCGACAACATGTCAAGGCAAAAAAGACCTAGGGCCTGGATCGCTGGATTCTAAGTCCAGACTACCATCTTAGGCTAATATGCTCCTATAGATGGTTAGTCACGGTGCTATCACGGTGCGAGTGGGCTGGTTGCTGCTTTACTAAGCGTATTCGGAGTTCGATGACGCCGCCACAGGACCGGCCAGATGACCGCGCCGATGTCCAACACTCGCCTCGCCGCCTGAAAAGCATATTTTTACAGACGTCATCTGGCGGACCCCAATATAAACCAAGGTCAATGGTCAAGATGCTTGACCTGACCTGCTTTTCGTCCATCACCATCATCCCGCGTCAACATCAATCACAATGGTCGACCCCGGCGACGAGGACGCCAGAATGGAGCGCATAGCCTCCAACAACCCAGCCATGACCATCCCCGCCAGCCAGATGGTCTCGCGGCCGGATTTCAACCGCCTGCGTTCACGAAGCAGTACACAACAAACCCGTCGACCTGTTAGAAGATCTGACCCGTCGGGAGACACAGAGTCCATTACCACCATCTCAAAATCCACATCACCAGAAGCAATACTTCCGCCCTCCAAGTACGACGTTGGCTGGCGTCGCGTGGTGCGGAACTTTTCGCCGTCCTGGTTCAGCGTGACCATGGGGACGGGCATTTGCTCTCTGTTGCTGATCACGATCCCCTTCAAGGCCGCGTGGCTATACTGGCTCTCGGTGGTGTTCTTCGTCCTCAACAGCATCCTCTTCGCCCTGTCCTTCACCGCCTCTTTCCTCCGATACACGCTCTACCCGGAGATCTGGGCCGTCATGATCGCCGACCCTACGAATTCGTTGTTCCTGGGCACCATCCCCATGGGCTTCGCCACCTTGGTCGAGAGCTGGATTTTCCTGTGTTGCCCCTACTGGGGTTATTGGAGCGTGTGGGTCGCGTGGATTTGTTGGATGGTTGATTCTGTGGTCGCCGTGATCGTGACGGTGTCTCTGCCATTTCTGCTGATGAGTCAACGCGACTCGCAGGGCTTGGAGAGGATCACGGCGGCACAGCTGTTGCCGATTGCAAGTACTATTGTTGCCTCCGGGGCTGGTAAGTACTGATCACCTCTCCTGCTGATCGCCCTCGGCCGAGCCGGTCGTTCTATTTGAAAGGAGAAGGAATAGGTGCTGACGAATATCTCTAGGAAGTGAGATCGCCGAACTGCTCGATTCCCCCGACCACGCCTTGGGTACCTTGATAACTTCATATGTCATGTGGGGTATGGGTAAGTGCCCTTTGGAAACCCTGGCCGCCATAACCAGCGGTGCAGAGAATTCCCCTCTCACTTCCTCGTCTACCTGGATCCTGTTCAGTTGCTAACGAAACGACCAGCAACCCCTCTCGCGATCACAGTGTTGGTAATGTACTACCAGCGTCTGGCCTTGCACAAGCTCCCCCCACGCGAGGTCGTCGTCTCCTCATTTCTCCCCTTGGGACCTCTAGGCATGGGTGGATACACGATCATGTATCTGGGTAAGGTGTCCCGGCTCGTATTCCCCCGTGTGCACTTCTTCCACAATCTCCCGGTGGCAGGCGACGTCGCCTACGTCCTCGGCTTCTTCGTGGCGCTGATAATGTGGGGGTTCGGTCTGTGTTGGCTCGTCTTCGCCCTCGCGACCATCTACTCCACGCGTCCGTTTCCCTTTAATATGGGTTGGTGGGGATTTACGTTCCCCTTGGGCGTGTACGCAATCTCAACCATGACCTTTGGAGTCGAGATGCCGAGCATGTTCTTCAAGGTGCTAGGCACGGTCTTCAGCATCGCGGTAATCTTGCTTTGGTGCGTCGTGGCTACGGGTACGGCTAAGGGCGCTTGGGCCGGACAGTTGTTCTACGCTCCGTGCTTGAAGAATTTGCCCCCTCCGAAGGACGGAGCCGAAGAGGGCGGAAAGAAAGATGAGGAGCGGATGGTGGACAAGGGAAAACTGCCCAAGAATTGAACAATGAAGACCATCCTACACAACTCGTGCCCCCTTAGATTTACCGGGAAACCTGTCTGAGAAGGGATTGAGGTGGGGACTCCAGCCTTGCACGATGGGAACGGGGACAACAACCATGTCGTCGGGATGGATATCTTGACGCTTTTGCTTGCACTCACTACCACACCTTATTCTTCAGCAAACAAACGCCTTCCCATTCATCCATCCATCCACCAGTGCGGACCTGACCTGGCAGCCGAATCAAGAACTAAAGGCAAGGACGCCAAAGCTTCTCAAGCACGATTCGCTTGTGTTTCTTGGTGCTGGATTCGGCTGAAGAGGAACGCTGTCGATGCCTCTATCATAGGACCTCGCACTCCGTGCTTTGGTTGATCGTGTGGTCTTCCAGCATGAAATGTTGGGTCAAAGAAATTTCAACACAGTACAGTGCAGTCGCAGTGTGGTTTCGCGTAATTACGATCGACGAACGGGCCCGGTTCACGAACCGCCTAATGTATCTATCAACGAGGGCGAAGGCCGAAACTAGAATCGACGAAGCAAGCCGCAAGCCTCTACTTGTGACACTTTATCCGAACGATTCCAGCACATATAAGCAGAAGTGCCTAACGAAGCCAGATCGACAACACACGGAACACGATATGACACGACGTCGTTCTCGCCCACAAGGAGCTCTCGGCGATCGTCAATCAGTTCGCCTATCAGGCATTTACGGAGTACAAGGCGTGCCCATGTCCTCCTTTTCTCCTTTTCCTCTTCCTCTTCGCTCTTTCCCCTTTTCTCCGTCTGGGGCGGACCAGTCAGCCAGCCAATTTATCCTCAATGGCCCAAAGCATCATAGAAGGCCTGGTACAGGGCGCACCGCTGATCGACCACGTCCGTCTGGTTTCGATTCAGCACGGTGAGGTTCGCTCCCTTGGCGTCCGGCCCGTCCTCGACGCGCACGCCTCCGCCCAACATGCCCATAGCAGCGGGAACTTGGGGCCAAGGGGGCGTGGAAGAAGAAGAGGAATTATAGTACGGATCCTTTGCGAAGTCGGCCCAGACCTTCTGTACATATCTACTCAACCGGCGCTGGAACGCCGTGGCGTTTGTGGCGGGATACGTTCCCATCACGATGCCGATCTCGCTCGAGTGATAGACGCCCGCGTCCGGGAAGAGGTTTGTGTTGGCGAAGCTCGCGTTGTAGTAGTACCGGTAGCTGGGGATGCCGACCTGGGCCGTCTCCAGGTGGACCAGACGCGCTGGGCACTGGAATATCACGTCCGTGTACACGGCGCCGAGCTGTTCGAGCTGGTTGCCAAAACCCACGCCGGCCGGACCGATGGGATACGCGGCCAGCAAGCTCGAGACCTGCTGGTCCGTGGCCGTGGGGAAGAGCCCCCGGATGAACGAGGCCGAGTCGTTTGCTGTCACCGA